TTAGGTTATAAACAACTAACTACTTACACTGTAACCACTGACTGATTGACTAAACTGTACTCGATTAAATTGCTTTCCGTCTCGCCTCCATTTCTTCTCTAAATGCCGTCTAATCACTTCACTGGTGGGAGTTCTTTGAATTGGCTCTGATTCTGGGAGCTGCTTGGTTTGGAAATCATTTTGGTTTTATTTTGCTTTGCTCACATAAGCTCTACACAGTTTAATTGGTCAGAGGAATTTTCCTACTCAACTCATGAAAAGAGTAAAACTTGAAAACATGGAGTATGTTAGATGACAAGAAAGGAACTGCTCTGAGAAAGGAAAAGCATAAGGAAAGAGCTGGGCCAGTGGTACTCAACTGGGGGCAATATTGCCACCCTAGCACAATCTGGGAACATCTGGAGATATTTCTTATCACATCTGGAGTGGGGGCGTTGTTACTGCTATCTAATGCATAGAAGACACAGATGCTGCTAGACATTCTACAGTGCACAGGATAGCACATTTCAACAAATAACAGCCTGGCCTGAAATATCAATAGTGCTGCTGTTGAAAATTCCTGAGCTGAACACTTGAGGCTGTTAGGCAGGTTAAGTTTTTTCTCAAGTCCACAGCTTTAGGAGATTCAAAAATCCCTTTAAAATGTATGAAATTTTTGAGAATCTGGTTTGGAGAAAGTATTCGCACCCTTGAATGAATTTTTTTCCTTCCATGGTAGATCAGACCCAGGGCCTTTACACTGGGCTACATCCCCAGTCCTTAGCTGAATCACTAAGTTTCCCTTGGAGAGCTCAGACTTTAGATCCTCCTGCCTCAGCCTCCCAGTATCCATCACCATGCCTGGCGTAATCTGATTCTTATGGAAGTTCATGGCCAAAAGAGGCTGAAGAACCCATGAAAACCAAGGGTGAAGGGGTGGAGCTGAAGTGGAGGATAATTTCACTCCGAAAATTATCAGGAAGCAGTTCGATGTTTGCTGGAACCAGACTATAGTGAAACAAATTCTGAAGCGGATTGTTCTTAAAATTAAAGCTTATTACTTACTTATTTTTCTTATTTTCAAGTAATCTCCTGTTTTTCAATCACACACTGTGACTCCTCCATTTTCCACTCCCTGAACCCTGCTGTTCCTTACACCAGTTTCCTCACTGTCACACAAATGAGTTTATTACACCCATGCTCACACCTGACCTCTAAATTCCAAATGCTCTTCCTCCGTCTCACACAGAGCCCTTCCTCCTCTTTCCCATTCACCATGGCCCATTTTCTTCCTTAGTTTCTGAGCTTTCCGTTTCTTCCCGCGTCTGCTCCCTTGCTCCGGATCCAGCACGTTTACACAAAGAACGCACTTGATCTCTGGATAAGCTCTCTCTGCATCCCCAACCCCAAAGCAAGAGAAGAAACACCCTCATCCTGCCTTCCTGGTTACCTGGTGAATTTTAATTTGAATTAAAAGTTGGTAACATGACTCCCAAGCACTTGTGAACTGCTCGCTGTTTATGTTTTGCGGGCCACCTGGAAAACAAAAACCAAGGGAAAGTAAGCATTTTAGGTGATGTCAAAAAACGGATAGATGAGAGGGTCAGAATACCCACTAACTCTATAGAAACCATCAATCTCTGTCAAGTGTTGTACACCTAACACCCTCCAAGAGTGATTTGGCCCCGGAAGCAACCGTACCACTGCCACTAGTTCCCGATTTAGTCCGACGGTCCCAGTCTAAATAAAGCCAGGCAAGCGAGCCCAATTAAACAACCTGATGCGAACCTCAAGCTTCTAGAAAAAAAGAAGAGCAGGACAAACCCAAAGCTCATACAAGGGAGGAAATTATAAAGATCAGAGCAGAAATCAATGCAATGGAGA